TTATGATATTAATGGGTTAGAGTAAGAAAAAAATCGAGTTGTGTGTATTTGTGTGTACATGTGGATTGCATGCTGAGACGGAAGTTGAATCACCACGCCCTTTTAAAACCCAGTGTCACTAAATACCATTTATTGCATATCTGAATTATTGACCAATTTTGTCTTTCTGCTGAGAAATAACTGTGATCCTCAAAGATTGGATGGCATATCTGATGATTAGTTGTTTGGAGTTGAAAAGCTACATGCTTGTTATTTTAAAGTGAGTTAGACAAGTATTTTTTACACAAAGGATTATGCAAATAACAAAATGGGTTTTCCTTGTTAGTCCTACTGACTTTAAGAGGAAGTAACCAAACATTCGGACTCATCCATGTCAGCATGCCATTGGATCATTCTTTCAAGACACCTGGCCTAGCTAGTGGGCCAAATAGGCATCCCATGCGGTAATGACCTGGGCTTCTCCCTTCAGCTCCTGTTTTTCTGAAAGAGGCATGCGCTGCCTCCCTGTTGCCTTGGAGCTCTCTCAGGAGTTGGGCTTTCTGCTCTCAAGTCTACGCCTCACTTGCCTTTTCTCTGTTTAGGCAACCCTTTTGAAACCTGCACTTTTGCAAAATTCCTCCTTTTATTCCTGTACCTTCAGGGTGGCTTATGATGCTTTAATTAATGTTTTTATCTAGTCACAATTGTGACTGTTCTCCAGGGCCGTGGTAGGAGGGGCACTTTATAAATAAAGTGATTATTCCCTCAAAACCAAACCCGGCAAGATCTAGCCTGCTTTGTGTGGGTCTGATGCTTCCTTAGAGGCATCTCCCTAGCCAAAATCTGCATCTGGCCGAGTACTTCCCTGCGTGTGTATGGGGGAGGGGTCAAATTGCACAACCTGTTTACTTGATTTGGGTGACATCCTTAGGATGCTGGTGGGTGGTATCACAGCTATTATTTGAAAGCTGCCTCAGTAGGGAAGCGGTGGCACCAAACAGTAAAGAACAAACTGTACAAAACAGGGAAAAATAGTGCAATTGACAAATCTATTCAGCGGCAGAATTCATAGCCACAGAGCCTGGACTAGGTCATTGACAACCCACCTCACTTGGTTAGGATGGCCTGATGATTTTCTTTAATTTATGCCGTAGCAGGTTTTCAAATGCTATTAGATAGAGAAAGCACAGACTCACGGCTTCTCTGCTCCCCAGCAAAGGCATTATGTCTCCTGAGCACAGCAATACAGGTTACAAGTCTGACAGGTCTCAGCAGCAGTAAAAATTAAATCTGGAAGCTACATTTTGTGAGATCACCATATTTATTTTTGCTTTATTTTAGGACTTTGAAAATAATCTCAGCATCAGCACTCATCACTTACAGGAGGAAAGAGGCTTATGTCAGTGAATGTTGGCTATGTAATGGAGTTTGGTTTTTAATTATAAAGAAGGGTCATGGGACAGGGAAGTAACTGTCACTGCAGTACCCTCTTCTCCATTGAGTTCTGCCCTTTTTGGCAAACACTGCATCCAGTACAAAGGCTCTGGCTGAGTTATTAATCATGTTTGTCAGGCAAACTGCAATAATCTGCTGCCTAGATACAAAGCAAAGTACAGAGTTGCAGGCAGGATGTAATGATAAAACACTTGATACCTCTCACTCTCAGACTCTGATCCTGCTAGGGATTAATTTTTTCACTCTATTTAATTAAAGGGGGTAAAAATGAAAGGAAGTGATTTCAGTAATGTCTCATGCTCTCAGTTGTATATGTTCTTGATGACAAAAAAAAAAAAGGGCAGCATGAAGCCTGGCAGAGCTGTTTGGATGTAGGACACGTTGCTCTGGCCTGCTGGAGAAAGAAGAGCCCAGGGCTTCCACAGATGAGAGAAGGGGGAATATGTATCTGGACTTTCACATCTAACCAAAAGCTCCAACGTTTTTCCGATAATTTCTATCCCTTTTGTCTTTTGCTAAGGGGAAGGGGCTGGGGGCTCTGCTATTCTATCATACTCTGTTTAAATTGAATAAAGGAGAAGAATAGCAACTAGTTAGGCTTTGTGTCCCCACCCAAATCTCATCTTGAACTGTAATCTCCAGGTGTTGAGGGAGAGACCTGGTGGGTGGTGAATGGTTCATGGAGATGATTTTCCCCATGCTGTTCTTGTAGTAGTGAGGTAGTTTTCATGAGATCTGATGGTTTTATAAATGGCAGTTTCCCCTGGACTTTTCACTCTCTCTTACCTTCCACCATGTAAGGTGTACCTGCTTCTCCTTCTGCCATGATTGTAAGTTTCCTGAAGCTTCCCCAGCCATGTGGAACTGTGAGTCAATTAAACCTCTTTCTTTATAAATTACCCAGTCTTGGATGGTATCTTTGTAGCAGTGTGAAAACAGACGAATATGGCAACTTGCCCACTGGCCATTAGGGGTGACCCTTGTGGTAGAAGCAAAGTTTCTACATGTTCTCATCTTTGGGAAGGCAGATTACCTAGAATATGACTTACTGCAAGCTGCTATAACTTCATGGGTTCAAGGAATAAATAATGAAATTAGTTAAGTTACTCTGAAGCCAGAAAGGTCATAATTCCTGTGAAATGTTTCCAAAAGTTTCATAGGATGCAATGCTTCTTTTGTGAGGAACACTGTTTTTGTTTTTTTTAGCGTGCTCATTTGAAAACTGATGCTGCGGGTGTTAGGGCTAAATGTTAAAGAAGTTTGGAGAATGCTGAATGAAACAAACTTTTAAAACATAATGTTCCAGCTAGCATTTTATAACTCTAAAATGGAAATATCTGATATGAACCATTTTCTGTACATGACAAGTATCTCATGAGACATGCTATATTTAATAGGGCACACTTTGGATAAAACTGTTCTAGAGAATGAATGTTCAAGAGATTCAGAACATTTTTCCTCTTGTTGTCTATAGTCCAATAGTTTTGACTCTTTGGAGTTGAAAATTTGACCCTTCTTTTTAATCTATAGTTTAAATGGCTAATAATGTAGTATTTTGACTCATATACTCTGACTATAAATACTCGCCATTTTTCTGGCTGCCTTACCTCTAAATCTCCTTATTGATTCTGGAGAATCTCCTGTTTTGTGGTTGTGAATGGGCCAGAGGGTGGGGTTGGGGCAGGAAAACTCTTTTTGTCCTGTGGCAGCAAGGTTTGGACATATGAGAGAAGCTTAGCCAAATACATGCTTCTGCCTAGGAGGGGTTAATTTTGAGCATGTGACAAAAAGAGGAAGGGCAGGTGATATGGGTTGCAGAAGCATCCAACAGTGGTGGTCCTGGAAACATAAGTAGAAGTAACCGTGTTTTGTCTAATCTCTGCCTCCTGTTTGTTTCTAAGCCGGACCGTCCTGAATCTTATAACAATATCCTTTTAATAAGTGCCCCTTTAAAATTGAGACAGCAAAGTTTGTTTCTTTGGGATAGAAGCAAAAACTAACTAGTTGAGAACTCTAGTTATAGGTACCTGATTTCTCTTTTCCACATTAATATAGTAGAAGAAATCACTGTTTTTTTTTTTTTAATGTTTCATGTTGTTTAAGGAGAATGAGTCTATTTGAGTTCTCTTAGCAGGAATGCATACCAGGAGGGTGTCATTGGATGCTTGCTACTTTTTCAATTTTTCCCTGTGAGTCTTAAACCTCTGCTAGAAAAAGCCTAACTCTTATGGAATCCTCCAACTCTAATTTAGTAAAGAATTTACAATTAGGAAAAAAAATATTTAGACTACATACCACATACAGATATGTGCATCCATGTAGTTGGTTTGTGTTCAGGATAGAGGCCAGAGAGCTGAGCAACCTTTGCCATAAGACGTGGATTCTAGGTTCGTCTCTTCATTATCTTAATCACATTATTTCAGGTAAGAAAGGAGGATCTGGGAATAATGAGTTCATCCAGTTGAGGAGGATAATGAGTTCATTGTTTCAAAAATGTTAGAAATTTTACAGCCGAACAAAACTGTTCAGTGGTACTACTTAGTTAATTCTGGGTAAACTAAAGCTCAGCTTCTTAAAAATGAAATTAAATGTGTAAATTAAATTAGAAATTAATGTTGGCACATAGTTTCATTCCCAAAAGAAGAGATGGGCCGTGTGATTGTTTTCTGGTCTGAATGCTGCTGAACCCTAGGGTTGTGAAATAACATCTCAGGGGCAGCTTGAGGGTGGGGGCCGGGGGGAGGTTGGATTTGGGGCAGAGGTTTAGGTCCCTTCTACAACTTCAACAGGGCAGTTTTTCTTATTTCATAGAACCTGGTTCATGACCTACGTTTGGTTTTTAAAATTCTAGGTCAGAGTTAATAGACACTAATGCCTTAGTTGCAAAAAAAAAAAAAAAAAAAAATAAAAAAATGAAATGCTTCAATATTTTTACTTACAATGTTTTACTTTTAATTTTTAATGTTCTCTACCTCTATCATTCTGAAACACTTCATATCTAAATATCTATCTTTTAATACTTCATTTTTAAAAAGGGAATTGTTGAGAAATTAAATATAGAACAGGAATATAAAGAATTGTGTTATATTTCAGTATCTTTGCTCTTCAAATGTGACACAATCTCATAGTTAATCCTTTTGTGATAATTTAATTTTCAAGGAAAAAAAATGACAAAATTCTAGACTTCTTCAGCTTCTCACCACACCCAGAGGGTTTACAGTGAGTCCAGGATCGATATGGGCAGCTACTTTGTGATTCGTGGCCTCTATCTGGGCTGCTCATAGAGCCAAAAAATACTATCACTAGATTTTTCTTTTAAGACAGCAGCTTTGTTCAATTATCAACTAACCTACTGATGTTATTTTCTGCAGCAATTCCCAGTGACCATGCTGCTTGGAGTTAAGGGAGATGGAGAGGAGAAAATCAGCTTTCCAGGATGTGCACAAATCCTAAGCCTCAACTTGCTCTTGCCTTGGCTGTGATTTTATTTATTTTCACTACTGCTCTCTTAATTTTTTTGCTGTTGTTTTGTTTTGAGACGGAGTCTTGTTTTTGTCACCCAGGCTAGAGTGCAGTGGTATGATCTTAGCTCACTGCAACCTCTGCCTTCGAAGCTTGAGCAATTCTCGTGACTCAGTCTTCCTATTAGCTGGAATTACAGGCACATGCCACTACGCCTGGCTAATTTTTCTATTTTTAATATAAAGGGATTTACCATGTTGGCCAGGCTGGTCCCAAATTCCTGATCTGAAGTGATTTACTGTGCTGGGCCTCCCAAAGTGCTGGGATTACAGGCGTGAGCCACCGTGCCTGTCCAAATTTTTAAATTTATATAGACACACAATAGCCTACATACTTATGGAGTACATATTTTGATACATGCATACAATGTATAATGATCAAATCTGGTTAATTAGCATATCAATTGCCTCAAACATTTATCATTTCTTTGTGTTAGAAATATTCCAAATCTTCTAGCTAATTTGAAATATATTAATACATTAAATTACTGTGAATTACAGTTGTTCTATTATGCTATGAAACACTAGGACATATTTCTTCTATTTGACTCTATGTTTTTATTCACTAACCAAGCCTTCTTCATACCCACCCTCTCCACTACACTTCAAACCCTCTCTGGTCACCATCATTCTACTCTCTATCTCTATGAGATCAATTTTTGTTTTAGTTCCAATATATGAGAAAGAACATGTGATATTTGTCTTTCTGTGCCTAGCTTATTTCACTCAGCATACTATCTTCCAGTTTCAGCCATGTTGCTGCAATTGATAGAATTTCATTCTTTTTATGGTAGAATAATATTCCATTGTGTATATATACCACCTTTTCTTTACCTGTTCTTCTTTATGACATCAGTCGACTAACTGCCGGGGCAGGGACTGTATCTATTTTGTCCATTTTTGGTGAGTCTATAACCTAGAACAGGATGTGGCACAGAGTACACTAGACACTTAATTGGAATTAGACTGATGGACTTCCTCTTCTGAAAGGTGTTTTCCTTTCTCTTCTACCTGAACTTTAACTGACTTTAAGGCTGAACTTTAATTCTGTGAGGCTTTCCATATTCCATATAGACATTTGCCCCTAATGAATTCATCTTTCTCTCAACTCAACTGTGGAAAATCCTCAAGAATATTTCATGTAGCTCTTGTAATTTTGGTTAACTTACTATTCAGTTCTTTCATTTATATTAAACTTTTCAGGTTGTGTGATTTATCTCAATACCAGCTTGCACATTTTATGGGAAGATACTATTCTACCTTCTCAGGACACAATTCCCTGGCAAATGGAAACTCCATAAAATACTCGTTGGTGATGTTTTCAAACATCTGTAAAATTGTCGTCCATATAGTCACATTGTGGCTGCATTTAGAGCAAGCATAGTCTTAGTTTTATTTTTAGTTGTTCACTTTTGTGTTTTGAAAAATGTCCATAAAAATCACCAAATTGTGTTTGACTAATAAGTATTTTTAGTTAAATGTTTTGAGTTAACATATTGCGATTTCAGGATTGTCTTTATTAGAATCCCTCTTACCTAACGAAGACTCAACCTAGACTGGAATCATAGCTTGTGCACAAGTCTGCAATGAGGTAATTCTCCAATTAGCAGCAACAGTAAGAAAACAACAAAGTGAATCATCCTTGTAAAGTCTGAAGAGATTATAAATTCCCATATGGACAAAGGAAATGCTAAATATAGATGTGCACTTTCCCATTGAGCTGCTGCATTGGAAAGCAAAAAGAAAATGCAGGAGATAGAAGGAGATGGGGATGGGGGCAGGAAGAAACCAAACCAAGAAACTTCTGTAGAGGATCTTGTCCTCCATGATCACAGACTTCCTTGGCTAAATTCTGTCTTCCTTCTCAAACATTTCCCAAGCAGCATACTGTAGGCTATTTTGGGGAAATATTTTCACAAAATATCTAAACCTTATGTTTGCTGACAGGCTACAAAGTCTAGGTTCTAAGTAAGAAATTTTCATCTCACACCAGAACTTTCCAGTCCAACTGGCACTTCTGCTTCTCATGAATCCTGAAGAACAGATGGAATTGGGAACCTAATTTTGACTGAGCTTAAATCCAGCCTTAGGTATAATTTAAAAAATCTCCTATCAATATTCCACCAGTTTCTGATGTTTTCATTTGAGTGGACTAGTTTCCCTCAGGAAAAACTGAAAAAGAAAATCACAAAGGTGAGAGTCTGCTTTTAGTGCATAGCAATGTATAAGTATGTATAAGTAAAAATCATGCAGCATCACCAAATGAATTTAGTCATGTATTAAAAATGATCACGAATACAAAAGTGTGTGAGGCTACTCTAAAACACTACGCAGATGGTAGTAATGTTACTGCTAGAATTAGCAAGCTTCCTGAGAACATACAGCTAAATGCATGTGGACTGCCTTGCATTGATAAATATGCTGCCCTTTGCTTTCTGCTTAACCCTAGGACTGGCAGATCTCTTTCTTGACCAAGAAATGTTGGCTAGTCAGATCTTACAAATAAAATTCAATAGACTTTCTCCATTATACAAAAGTAAAGCTTAGAAGAGATGAAATGCATTTTATGGCCCCTTCTGCACTCAGAGTACCAAAGCCTGGGTTATGGTTCTTATTTGCTGCTAGTTGATACTGAGAAGTTAGAAGCAGGAAAAAAAAATAGGGAAAAATTTTCCTCCTGATGCTGGGACTCAGTGGGGGTTTTCTCCAGTTCCAGTGATTGACTTGACTGTTTATTTGTATGTTCTTCTTGTCCCTGGTAGCACCAAAATACCACCCACCTGATGACTTTACGTGGCTCTCGGTCTAGCTGGCTTAGCAAAGTTGACTGGTGAACTTTATGAGGCTAACACCAATACGCCATTCTTTCATAAACATACGTACTATCTTGGAGACTTAAGCTTTGTCATAAAACTATAGATTTTTCAGAACTGGAAGCAATCTGAGTAGACCTTCAGTACAATCATTTCATTTGGTAGCTAATAGCTTATATTAATATAGCAAAGGTAGCTCAATTTTTATTTACAGTATTTAATTTGAGGTTGACTGAGAAGACATAATTCTTGTTTTATACAGGGAAAGCATATTTAGCTTTCTTGACCTAAAGTAAAATTACAGGACTGCAGATTAGAGTCAGAACCAACTTTGGAACTGAAGTCTCCTGCCTTGCATGCCAATTATCTTCCTATACATAGTTTACTCATGTTGGACGCCAAAAGACACTTCTCTGACCTTCATCTCTAAACCAGACTACAACCAATCCACCTAGTTATCCACAGGCTCTTTGTAGAATTCTACAACTTGTGCAAGCTTAATATCCCAAGCTCCAGAGAAAAATACCATAAATTTCAAACTGAAGTATGAGCTTCCCTAAAAGCCCTTTCTTGATCTCTAGAAACAGACTGGTAATTTTCTGTTACACGTTTCACCCCAGAAGAAAATCCATCTCCTCAGATGCACCTTTCAAAATTTCCGTTTAGTAGTTCATAAGGATTTCTATATTTATTCATCAAATGTGTGACCTGAGTAAGACATATCAGTTCTATGCTTTCAGTTTATTATCTCAGATAATTCTATTAAGAATATCTGCTAACTTATTACTCCAGTAGGTGTGCTTAGATGGTCAGTAAATATATATATTACTATTTCCCAAAAGGTATTAAATAATCATGTGTAGAATTGAAATAAATTCAGTTACTTCAGAAGCATCTTATCTTTTAAAGTTTTGATGGCAGAACGTATTTCAATTTTTTTTTAAATCTCTCATAGTATTTGAAATGTGTCTTATACCTAGTAGGTACTCAACAAATATCTGTTGATATGAAATGTATGAACCTTTACCTGTAGAGATAATATGGATTTAATGTGATTTTGTAGCAATCTGACACACCAGGACTCAGTTCTTCCCTGCAACTGCTTATTCCAGGGTTTCTCAGACAGAAACAATTTTGTCCGTCAGAGGACATTTGGCAATAGCTGGAGATATTTTTGGTTGACACATCTCAAGGGTGTGGGGTGATAAGGGTGGGGTTGCTACTAGCCTCTATTGTTTAGAGGCTAAGGATGCTGTGAAAATCCTGCAGTGCACAGGACAGCCCCTGACAACGAAGTGCTATTTGGCTTGAAATGTTAATAGTGACCAGACGAAAACGCTGGCTTAGGCAAACCTCTCACTAAAACCCTTACAAGTTTATATTTAACATAATAGGATATGCTAAGTCTATTTTCTTTCTTTTTTTTTTTTTAAATGGGGTCTAACCATATTGGTCAGACTGGTCTCGAACTCCTGACCTCAGTTGATCCACAGGCCTCGGCCTCCCAAAGTGCTGGGATTACAGGCATGAGCCACCGCGCCCAGCCCGCTAAGTCTATTTTCAATGTTTATTTCTTATTGGTAGTTAATTTTATGGGAAATCTGTAAGTCAGTACAGCCACCAAAGCCACATATACTTAGGCAATCTTGGATCATCACCACTCTTTAATTGTGATTTTATGTGTTATGGTAACATATGGAAAGGTAGAATGCAGGTCTGAAATGATTTCTTGGGAAGATGAGTTATTTAAGTATCACTGTGAGAATGTGGACTGTTTACTTGCATGATTATACTATGAAAACTTGAATCAGACAGATTAAACATCCTGGGTAGTTAAGTATTACTTCATGTTGCAATTTTGCATCACCTACATAATTTGGATTGAGAATATACAAACCTGAGTAAATAGAAGGAATTAACATTAGGATTTGAAAAGCTAATAGTGATATTTATGTAACATTAATGTAACTGGTACCTGGTTTTGTATTCCAAGGTATGTCTACAGAATGCAAAAGTACTTTGCAACAACAGGCCAATTTGAATGAGGGACTTAAGAGGAAGACAAGAGTGAGATGCACAAAATTGGTCTGTGAATAGGGTCACTACATAATTTGTTACCCAAACCAGAACACCTTTGAATATGGGACACTATTAATAATTACACCAGGACAACATGCATAAATAAGGACTATCTGGGGGCAAATCAAGCCTGATTAATTATTTACAAGAGCACAGTTATTAAAAACATGGAATTCTGGATACGTTTTGTTTAAGATTTTGTTGTTTGTATATTTTATGTAAAAACGTGTAACCCTTGCTTTAGATATTACTAGGTTTAAAGTGGTACCATGGTGAAAAAAGTTTGAGAAAATTCTAGGTTAAATCAAGTATCTAAGGTTTTCTTTTTTCCTACAGACCTTGGAGAGTGTTCAATATGTTAATATACATGCGCAATTCTCCAAGAGAGAATAAATATTTAGCATTTTCCAAATGTATTTGATCATAAGAACATTTCTTTGGATCATGAGTTTTTCGAGGGTAGAAGTCATACCTCCACCTTATCTAGAACATAAATGATGCTGCTTCAAAGATGACAAATGATTAAGTATAAGGTAAGGGAAAGTCGTAAATGTACTGCAGTCTCAATGAATCAAGATGAAGGGTGACATAGAGACAAATAGGCAAATTAGGAAGTGGAAGCCCTTAGAAGGTTTCACTCAAGTAGGAGCAAATACTGCTAAATTCCATCTTACACTTGCTGGACTGTGTGGCACAGCCTGTTGTTTGGCCCTTCCCGCCTCTCTTGTAATTTCTAGTCTCCTCCTTTTGGAGGCCCCAGTCTCATCTGACCTCCTTTGCCAGCATCGAATCCCTGAAAACTTTGCCTTCCAGAAGCTATCACCTAAGAAAGATATTAGGGAGGGATGACTTCCTTTTAGTACCCAGGGTATTATCAGAAATGGAAGAGAACCAATTACCCATAATCCACCCTTTCAGACTCCTCTCGTTTAATCCGTTGCCTTTCACCTCCAAATCTGGAATAAATAATCAGTAAAAAAGGTCAAAGCCCCGGTAAGGCCATGGTTTCTGTGAGGATAAATTTATGATTCGTGTCATTTATGAGGCGGAAAAACCCCTTCCTTCAGAATTCTTTACATATTTATTTAACAAATATTTATAGAGAGCATGTTGTATACCAAATACCGTATCAAGCTTGGGAGGATCAAACAGGAACACAATTAAGACAGTCATTGTCCACGAATCTGGACATCTGAAAGCTTGCATCAGAAACTGGGATAAGTCTTGTCACTGGGAAGGCTTTACCGCTTCGTTTCATTCAAATACCTGCATGAACCACCAGAAGCCTTAAAATTCTCCTACAAAGGTTATAGGATGATAAATTCTCCATTTCATGGACTTTCCTTTCAGGCCAAGTTTTACAATAATTTAACATTTATTTAGCACTACTGGCCTGGAGGTGGTACAGAAAATGGAAAATAATCATGGTTTCTGCCTTGTAGGCTTTCAATCTATTAAATATTTTTTCCTGTCTTTCTAGCTGCAGATTTAATGATTTGAAGCCAAAAAGAACAAGGTTATTTAAAAAGTATTAATCAAGATATGTAACTTTAAAATTACCGACTCTTTCTCAGGACATTCATCTTATGTGTGTTTTTATTGCTGTGGGCTAGCAATACATTTATGGAGGATTTCTCTGAGATACAAATTTCAAGAAAAATTTACATACAAATTCAGTAATCTCTATATAACCCACTTCTCTGTTTTGTGGAATCTGATTATTTCATGAAAAGGAATTTCTTTCCACTAACAAAACCCAATTAGGCCAATAATTTGGGATTTGTATTCTATCTTTGATCCCTCAAGACAAATTTTTTTAATCTTTAATTTTTATTTTTAATTTCTATGGATACATAATAGCTACATATTTGTAAGGTACATGTAATATTATGATATAAGGATATAATGTGTAATAATCAAATCTGGATAATTGGAATATCCATAATGTCAAACATTTATTTTTTTGTGTTGGGAATATTCCAAATCTTTTCTTCTGGCTATTTTGAAATATACATTATATGATTGCCAACTTTAATCACCCTATTGTGCTGTTGGGCACTACAAGTTACATCTATCTGTATATGTCCCCATTAACCAACCTCTCTTTATTCCCTCATCCTCACTACCATTCTCAGCCTCTGATAATCACCATTCTATTCACTATCTCCATGAGATCAATTTTTTTTTTTAGTTGCAACATATGAGTGAGAATGTGTAAGATGTGTCTTTCTTTGCCTGACTGATTTTACTTAATATAATGTCCTCCAGTTTCACCCACGTTGCTGCAAATGACAGGATCTCATTTTTTTTTAACAGTACAATAGTATTCTATCATGAATATTTACCACACTTTCTTCATTCATCTGTTGATGGACACTTAGGTTGATTCCATATTTTGCCTATTGTGAAGAGTGCTGCAAGGAACAAGGGAGTACCGCTATTTCTTTGACATACTGATTAAGGGTGAGGACAAATTCCCGCAAAGGTAGGTTTGTGACAGTTTACACTCTTTTTTTTTTTTTTTATTGAGACGGAATCATGCTCTGTCACCCAGGCTGGAGTGCAGTGGTATGATCTCGGCTCACTGCAACCTCCACCTCCCAGGTTCAAGCGATTCTCCTGTCTCAGCCTCCTGAGTACCTGGGACTACAGGCGCACACCACCACGGCCAGCTAATTTTTGTATTTTTAGCAGAGACGGGTTTCACCATGTTGCCCAGGCTGGTCTCAATCTCTTGACTTTGTGATCCCCCCACATCGACCTCCCAAAGTGCTCGGATTACAGGCGTGAGCCACTGTGCTAGGCCGGATAATTAGTACTGTTAAAACATTCCTTGCCCAAGAAGAACTGGCTTGTTATATGAGGGCTGACTGAGTTCTGCAGGAGTTAAATCATTCCATCTCCTCTCCCTTGTCCTTCCTACGTCTCCATCCTTCCTCACCTATCCCTCAGCCTGCTTCTTGAGCTTGACAGCTTCTTCAGTCTCTGTGTCTGAGACACTTCTTTTTGACACATTCAGCTGTCAGGAAAATCAGTGTCCCCATCTAGAGGAAGTGGATTGAAGGAAGTCATGCAATATTATTTTTCATTTCCTTGGATGACGTTTTATATCTCTTTTTACTTCAGTTTCTTGGATCCAGGGCATTTGTACAGTGTTTTGCAGATTTTTAAACAGTGTTACCATTCATTATTTTATTTATTCTTCCCAATGAACCAGCTAGGTAGATAGAAAACACTTTCTTCATCCCCATTTAGCAAACGAAAACTTGATGCTTAGAGCATTTATGAGTCATTAAAAGTAACATGTTACGAAATAAAGCTGGAAGAAAAGCCTAAGCCTTTTGTCATTTCAAAGCAATGCTCGGGATTATTATTAATATTTAATTAAGTATTGTTTGTGGTTTAAGAAATTCACTCAATTCCCGAATTCCCTAGATCATAGAGTAACAACTATGTATGGTTTGGCATATACCCTTCCAGAGATTTTTATGAGGATACTTGTAAGTACTTCACACATACATATAGTTTAAAACACTTAAAATGGCACTATGTTATGAATATTATTTTGTTGCATACTGTTTCCATTTAATAATAAATCACTGATATTTCTGTCAGGCTGTATAGAGGGCAGTCATTCTTTTTAACCGCTACAGAGTAGTTTGTACATGAATATAACATAATTTATTTAACCAGTCCCCTATTAAGGGATAGTAATGCCTTTTCAAATGCTGCTGTTAAAAACAACATTGGAAGTTGCAGCCTTCTGTTGCATGTTGGAGAAAGGAGCGGCTATTCATATAGAATGAGTTGCAAAAAGCATATGTATATATATCTCCAATATTTTAATAGATTTTTTCTGAATTTGACCTCCCAAAAGGCTTCAGAAATTTACATTACCACTGAAAGTATAGAGTCCCAATTTCTACATACCCTGGTCAACATTAAATAGGATAAATTTCTGCTTTTATCTTTGATACTTTCTACTTCAAGTTATTTAATTCTTCATGTTCTATGTTCTTTAGTTGAATATTTAGTTAATTCATTTCTGATCTTTCTTATTCTCTAATAAGTACATTTATGTATATGCAATTTTTTGTGAATATCAATTAAAGTATACCCTGTAGATTTTTGCCATTAGATTGAGGTATAATCACAAATTTTTCTGTAGCTTGCAATTCTTATATTGATTGACTTTAAAACACTTAATATAGAAAGTTTCAGTGTTTAATTGTATAGATTTTTGTGTTCAGTTAAAGTTTTCTTTGCAGTGAGAAAATATGGCTTCTAGTTTTTACAATTTATTGTTCTTTCTTGACTAACCTGTAGTTCATTTCAGTAAGTGTTAAAAACATTTTAAGAATGAATGTGTAATCTCTATTTTGTAAAAAAACAAAAAACAAATTTGTTAGTAGTAGTGATTAAGGTTCATTCAAGTCTTTCACTCTGCTGGGGATTTGTCATTTCTGTGTTTCTAACAGATTTTGCTTTGTATTTATGTCAACGCTGTGCTGTTAGATGCATGATATTTAATGACATATTTCTTGGGAAAAAACTTTCTTCTGCTTTAAGGATTGTTTACCTCAAATAGACTATATATGCTTTTGATATTGCTACTGTTGTTTGGTTTTTGTTACTCTTTGACAGGTATGTGATTTGCCTGTCTCCTTTTGTCACCCACATGAGGATTTTGTTTTATATTATTTGAGTGTGTCTTTTGTAAATGACATACAGCTAATTTTTAAAACCCAATCCAAGAATCACTGCTTTTGAATGATAGGATCATTTACCATAATCACCTGTAATAACTTACATAATTGATATTTCTGACATCTATTTCTATTTTTAACGTTTTCTAATATTTTCTCTAGCTGTAATGATAGGTTTTTTATATTTTCCCGCTTCTAATGTTTAAATGGCATATCTTAATTTTTTTCTTGTGGTTACCAATTCATTTTTAACAAACATTGCAAAATATTATTTTGTAAACATAGATAACTGATGAAGTTATTTGATCTCTTCTGCAGAGGACAAAATTCTTAGCACCTGTGTATTTTCCCTTTCCTCACCCTGTGTATTCTGTTTCCTTGAAGACACCGAAATTTAAACTTTATATTGTTTTTATTGTTATTTTGTATTATGGTTCTAATTTCTTAGAAATAATTTCTTAACAACTGCTTTATATTTCACAACTGTATTTTCAGCAGTTGTTTAGAATTATCTACACCTTTTATTGTTCAAAGATTTATTATGTCTAGTTGGGTTGGTTGGTTGGTTGGTTTGGTTGGTTGGTTGAAACCCGTCCTTAATAATTATTTCAGAAAGATTTGTTGATGGCTACAGTTTTGAGCTCATTTCAAAATGTTTTTATTTTGCTCTCACATTTGAATGCCTGTTGCTTCACAACAAATTACCACTATACTCATTGGTTTAAAACAACAATTTTTTAAAGAAGTTTCTGTGTGTCAGAAATCTGGGTAAATTTTTTCTGGTTGTCTCTGGCTCAAAGTCACTCAAAATTGCAGTGAAACTGGCATCTAGGCCTGTGATCAATGTGAAGACATCAAGGACTAGATCCAGTTCCCAGGTCACTTAAATTGTTGGTAGGATTCAGTTTCATGCAGGCTATTGGCTGGAGGCCTCCCTTCTTTCTGTGTTACCTAGGCTTTTCAATAGGGCATTTTGCAACATGGAAGCTGGCTTCCTACAGAAATAGGGAGCAGGAGAGGGAAGGAGAGTTCCCTCAAGACAGAAGACAAAGTCTTTTAATTACTGAATCTCAAAAGTGAGATCCCATCACTTCTTCTGTATCCTATTTCTTTAAAGTAATTCACTAAACCCAATTCACACTCAAGGGTTGCAGGGAATCACAGAAGGGCATGGATACCAGAAAGTCGAGATAATTTAGGCCATTTTAGAGACTGCCTACTATTGTAGGTTCAACATTATTTTTCCTCCATTCTTTGAGGACATAGGCTCACTGTCTTGTAGTATCCATTTGTGTGTGTGTGTGTGTGTGTGTGTGTGTGTGTGTGTGCACGCGTGCGTGTGTGTGCGTGCGCGCGCACACAAATAATAAGACTTCGATCTGATTTTTATTCCTTAACAGATAACCTATTTTCCTCTAGATAAGTTTAGTATCTTTTAATATTTAGAATTCTAAAATTCCACTGGGATATTCCTAGCTTTCATATTTTCTCATTATTTATGATAATCTTTTAATATTCCCTTTATTAAGATGGAAGTTTTAGAATAGCTTAAAGATATTTATGTTATTCCTTCTTCCTAATTTCCCTGTGGTTGGCTTCTGGAAATCTTAAAATGAATATTAGAACTTCTGTATTTATCTTTTATTATATATCTTTTATCCGTTCTTCTAGATTTTTAGAAAATTTGAATATTTTACAATTTTTTGTGGGTACATAGTAAATGTATGTATGTTTGGGGTACATGAGATGTCAAAACATGATACAGGCATGCAATGTGAAATAAGCACATCATGGGGAATGGGGTATCCATCCCCTCAAGCACTTAACCTTTGAGTTACAAACAATCCAGTTGCATTCTTTATTTTAAAATGCACATTTAAGTTATTATTGAATATAGTCATCCTACTGTGCTAGCAGATAGTAGCTCTTATTTATTCTATTTCTTTTTTATCCAATTAACATCTCCACATACCATCTCTTCCCACCACCCTTCCCCACCTCTGGTAATCATTCTTCTACTCTTTATGTCCGTGAGTTCAATGATATCTCGGTTGTACAAATAAGTGAGAATATGTGATGTTTGTCTTTCTGTGCCTGGCTTATTTCACTTAATATAATGATCTCCAGTTGTATGCATGTTGTTACAAATGACTGGGCCTCATTCTTTTTTATGGCTGAACAGTATTCTGCTATGTATATGTACCACAATTTCTTTATCCATTCATCTGTTGATGGATAGTTAGGTTATTTCAAAATCTTATCCATAGTAAACAGTGCTACAGCAAGCATAAGAGTGCAGATATCTCTTCAATATGCTGATTTTCTTTCTTTTCATTATATGCCTACTAGTGGTATTGCTAGATCATATGACAGCTCTACTTTTAGTTTTTTGAGGATCACCCAAACTGTTTTCCATAGTGATTGTACTAATTTACATTCTCAACAACAGTGTACAGTGGTTCCCTTTTCTTCACATATTTTCTAGCATTTGTTATTGCCTGTCTTTTGATATAAGCTATTTTTACTGGGTGAGATGATATTTCATTGTAGTTTTGATTTGCAATTCTCTGATGCTCAATGATGTTGAGCACTTTTCATATGCCTGTTTGTCATTTGTATGTCTTCTTTTGAGAAATGTCTATTCAAATCTTTTGCTCATTTTTTGATTGGATTACTTTTTCCTATAGAGTTATTTGAATTCATTATATATTCTTGTCATTAGCCCCTTGGCAGATGGGTAGTTTGCATGTTATTTTCTCCCATTCTGTGGGTTGTCTCTTTACTTTGTTGATGGTATCCTTTGCTTTGCAGGAGGTTTTTAACTTGATGTGATCCATTTGTTCATTTTTGCCTTGGTTACCTGTGCTTGTAGGGTATTGCTCAAAAAATCTTTGCCCAGACCAACATCCTGCAGATTTTTCCCAATGTTTTCTTGTGGTAGTTTCATAGTTTGAGGTCTTATCTTTAAGTCTTTAATCCATTTTTATTTTATTTTGGTATGTGGG